AAAATTAAAAGAAGGTAGAGTACAAACACTAAAACTGTGCAACATAAATACCACTAAATACTGCTAAATTAGCCTAATTCTATTGTTTTCTATTGTTTAATTAACACTATTTTGTAGTAAATTGAGGAAAGTGTTGCACAGATTTAATGTTTGTACTGTAGTTACACCCATCTTTACAATACAAGCACCATGAGGGCATGATATACAAATCAAGGAAATAACGTTCACTAAACAATGCTCAATTCTTGGCAAAGTTTATTCCCAAATTACTTTACAAATCAAATGGAGTTTATTAATTCAATTCTGTTAGCTTTGAGATGAAGAAAAACACTCGCCAGGTTGTGTTAGCAAGAGCTATTATTTACTCGGATAAAATTAAACCTTATTTATTGGTTTAAAAATATTAAATAATTAACCAACGTAAGTTCTTCATGTTAGACCTAGTGTAGATAATATTACCACATTATCCAATAAAACAACAATAATTTATAGCTAGAGATGAGACACTTCATAAGGTCCGACACGAAGTAACTACCCTCCCATTCATGCACAAACATATCATGCTTTATTATATAGATGATTTCTAACGCGCGCTCTGATTGGCCAAAAAAGTGTGGTTTATGAGAGTATAAACCACGATTGTGCGCGAACGATTTTTGAAAAAGGCAACAAAATGGATTTTTGCTTAAGTTTTGCTCAAAATCTATATAATAAAACAAATAAATAAGTCTCAGCCTGTGGACTCGAATAAACGCACGCTTGGCATTTGAAACACACTCAAAAATGTCCAAAAGCACTCGCTTTCAKCTCGTGCTTCTTGACATTTTCTCGTGTGTTTCAAATGCCAAGCGTGAGTTTATCAGAGTATAAACCACGACTGAGCCTTATTTATTTGTTAACTGTACAACTTTACAATCAACGTTAGCCTGACGAAATCCGGGGAAATATGAGCACCAAAATTGTGCAATACTAATCCAAGTTTTACATTAACATACAGTATGTTCACACAGCCAGACCTACTCTGCTGACAAGGAAAGATGAAAACGATTTTAACAACCATCAAATAAAATTTCATTTATACTTTAGCAATACCTGTAAATCAWTAARTTCATGCAAATAAACTTATCTATCTAACACGTGGATCACAAATTCATGTATTAATTTATATAACAGATTTTGAAATATGCGCCGTCGTAATTTAGTTAAAGTGCACAATTCAGGCTAATTTCCTATCTCGTCAGCCAAAAGAAAACATTCACGTACTCGGCCTACTCATCTTCACCCAACCCCAATAAATGAACCTTACCACAGGTCAAAATTCACTTACTCATACTAAGAATTCAACAAATTTTCATATAAATAAAAAATCCACTATTAGCTAATTTGAACTTGCTAAATTATGAATTTTTGATAATGTCAACGTTTTACAAACGGCAGTTAACCTATTGCTTACAGAATTACTTGTATTYGGATAATATATTCAAGCAAGGCGTGCTTTCGCCGGCCTTTCGGTAYTACGATAACGCTCCGAAGTTCTACGAGTGCAGCACGATCATAGCACGAACAATCCTWCAAAGTATGCGKTARGGTGAGCTTTAAAAAAATAGCAGAAAGCTCTGTTCAACACATTTCCGAGAGAAAATGACAGAAAAATTGATAAAAAAGATGAAAACGACAAATGCAAGTGAAGCATGAGATTCATGTCACGCAGGAGTGCGACTCACAATTACGTCACGCCAGCGTGCGGCCAATTCTCATGTCACGCTTTGCATATTATACTACATACACACATTCTCTATGTCATTCTTCATGGATAAATCCTAAACACCCCACTAATCCGAACATTATGTCACGTTTTGAGGTTTCGTATTCGAGAGGCTGCCAAATATGCGACCCTTCTATATAATCGGGTCAGTTTTAACAGGGGCATGCCAATAAAACGCTATAACCCGGCCAACTGATGCCCGTATTATAGAGGTCTTTTTTGTGGGGATTAACCGCCTCTTACCCTCACGGACCTTTATAAAGCGGTCACTAGATGACCGGATTACAGAGATAATGACTCAAATATCCCTAATAATTGAATACAATTGATCATATTAAAACAATCCTAAGGCAAAGTGTGGTAATAATGTCAAAATGAAATCCTATAAGTCATTATTGTTTACGAAGCAGGAAGAGGGATTGCTGTACTGCCCGTGCTGTTGCTCGTCGGACTTTCAACTTGAGACGGTTTTGCGTCYTCAGTAGGTCCTGGCTCTTCACTGGTCATTACAGGCTCCCCGTTCAAACCTGGCTGAGTGGTRACTGGGGTGGAGTCTTCCTCCTCTTTCATTGCGTCTTCGTAAGCCGTCATATCCTCGGGCCAGTCCTCATCAGGGTTTGGCTTACATTTGCCACAACAGAAGTTGAAGCAGAAAAAGCAACAACAACAGCAGAAATAGCAACCGGTTATGACTCCACAGAAAAAGAACAAGGCCTAAAAATAATAATCAGAAAAATATATCATTGTAAGACGATAGAATCAGGTCATATAACGATGATAAATGGTGTTAAAATGCTATACTTAAGATGTAAATGGTGAAGATGAAGATGATAACGATGATGATGATAATAGTGATGATAATGATGATGATGATAATAGTGATGATAATGATGATGATTATGATGATGGCGATGACGATGACGATGATAGTGATGATGATGATACTGATGATGATGATAATAATGATAGTGATGATGATGAAAAGTGATTAATCAGCACTAACCTTACACCATCCACTGTTCAATCTAAAGTACAATTTTACATTCTAAAAAAGAAAAACATATGTCAGTGCCTTTCAATAAAACATGCCACAGCTCAAAGCTCGATTGATTGATTGGTTGATTAATTGATTGAATGATTGATTCATTGATTAATCGATCCCTCTATATGATTGATTGATTGATAGATCCATTGATGAATTGAAAGATAGACTGATTGATCGATTGATTAACTGAATAATTATGGATTTATCAAAAAACAAAATCAATTGGTGGCTAATTGACTGTGCTAGACAAACAATGCATTTCCAACTAAACTGTCGAAGTTAATCCGTCACGCTACCTTATGCGTTACTSCCTAAATTCTGTGTAACGCAACACCTTAAGATTAGGGAATTTTTCGTGTAGATCTTTTTTCACATARTTGACAAAACCAGCGTTAACTAGTGTCCCGTTCAAATCCAATTCTTTAAGAGAAGTATTGACGCAATATGAAATTGAGCGAAGAAGCAACTGAGCTCCTTCATTTTGGATAAAGTTATGACTGATATTTAGTCTTTGAAGAGTAGTGTTTTTCTTCAGAGCATCTGCTATATATGAGGCACCTTCTGCTCTGATAAAGTTACCACAAACAACGAGAGTAGATATCGACTTATTCAATCGAATGATGTCGGCTACGGCTTTCGCGCCTGCGTCGTAAAGATAATTCCAAGAGACATCCAAAAAGTTAAGGTGTCTGGACTTCTGTAATCCTGTAACCATGGCAGCAAGACCTGTACTAGCGAGCTGATTGGATGATAGCTTGAGTGACTCAAGGGTTTTGTTAGCTGAAAGCATGTCCGCTGCAGAATAACCAAAGCCGTCAGATAGTATATTCCGACTCAAGTCCARTTCTTTCAGAAGGCATTTACTGTGAAGATACTTCAGYAAAGGATCCACAGCTTCGTCTGTCAAGGAGTTCCCAGCAAGACTCAATTTCTCGAGAGTCATATTACATTGCAAGAGCTCTCCAATAATTCCCATGGCACTTACAGTTATTCCATTATCCGATAAATCCAACTCTTCGACAGTCAAATTACTCATTAGCCCTCTAACAACGATGCGTGCCCCCTCGTTTCCAAGTCTACAGTTGCCAAGCAACAGTACAGTTACTGTCATTGATGGGAAGAAGGCTTGAGCCATGTCGTCAATTAAAACAGGTCCAACGCTACAATTTGTTAGATCCATTTTCTGATTCTTGTAGTTCTGCTTAAAATACTTGARAGGGTTTTCAAAATTCTCTAAATACGGGTCGTAGTCGTCTTCTGGTGCATGAAAAAGTATCTGGTTTTTGAGAGCAAGTTCAGCGCTTYTCACTTTTCTCTTGGAGTTCGTCATCAGCCGCTGAGTGCTCGAGATTTTTGGGTTCTTGGCATTAAGAGGAATGCCTTTTAAACGAGATTCGTCCGCAGACATATTTGAATTTATGTATTTGAACGAAAACTTAACTATTTTTAACAAGAAAGACGTGCAACAATGGAAAAGTATATGAAACTCATTAATGTGCAGAGTCTAACAGCAAAGGAGAGAGAAGTTCCCATGATTGGGTAATATTAACCACTGGAGAACATATCAGATAAAGAGCTATTATAGAAGTATAAAGAGATACTCAAAGAAAACAGCGTCATTTTTTTAAAGAGTAAGAAAAAAAACAGTTAAACCTTTTAAGAACATATCGCTAATATCTTTCTATCCACTTCGAAACAAACATAGTTATCAAAATSCATGAATTCTTAATCCACTGAAAGACCGTAGTCTATCAAGGCTCAGTGTTTTTTTCACTTAGTGGGACTGAAAATCCTTTCACAATTGCACAGGAATGTTATGAATTATTGAGCATCTGTGGTTGTGAGATGCTTAATTATTTAAACATAGAGCTATCCTTTCATTAGGGTTTTTTATTCTGTCAACAAAAACATGAATTTATAAAGTTTCYTGTATAATGTTTRTATTTTAAGTCTCTAAATTTGGTGTGCCGAGTAATGTTTATGGCGAAAACTGTAAGTTCTTTTCGAATGGTAATTCCATTCGTAACTGTGAAACAATTATTTTTTTGACACAACAACCAAAGAAAGCAATAGGCTTATGGTTGTCTACTGTATTTATAGTAAATCCATGTATTTCAAAAAGTCTCGCGAAAAACTCACTTTTGATTGAACTACTTAACGCACTAATCTACATTGGTGATTTGTGTCGAAATAACCAAAAAACGCCGACATGTTTATATTACTAGGACTACTACCCAACGAAATTGCAATCTAAAAGCAGCAAGGTTCAACATTTTTCTTTAACCTCAAAAGGCATGTAGAACGCAAAATTGCCACGGTTATATTGAAACGTTTTGACGTTAGATTGGCTTTCTTGCATTGCAGCCAATCAAATTTGTTCATTGGGACAATTTTTATCAATCAATCATTCAATCTTGTAGGCATTTGAAAGGTTTTCCCAAATTAAACCAAGAAAATTAACCATACAATAAACGATACACGAAATTGCATATAGAAACGAAAAAAACGGTGAAATTCTACAAAAAGAGAAATTGAAATTGAAAAATTAGAGAATATAGCTTCAGTTAATTAATCGTTCTGTATTTAGCAATATTTTAAAAGAAAAACCGTTCTTTATATCAAATCAACCAATCAATTATTCATTAAATCCAAAATATTGCCTCTGGGAAATTAAACCTTTTCACGATTCAATATGATGACATGAAAATAGATGAATTGGAACTCCCAAACCATTTAAAGTAATAAAATCAATTTTCCTTTATAAACTACAAGTTTCATATATTATTCCTTTAAAAATTTGCCATTTTGAACAAARCAACATAAATATAAAGCAGTTCTTAGCAAATTTTATGGTACAGAATGAAAGCATATTGCGTGAATATAACAAGATGTTCTCAACAAACAGTTCTCTTGTTCCATCAACCAACATGGCAGCTGTTGATTTGGTTGCTCAATACAAAATGTGGGAACAGTTTGCACTTTTTGCTACTCTGTTAGAGCACAACAAAATCATTTCTCTTTAAGCCTAACAATCCAACTTTGTCTCAAATGGTTTCAAACACCACACTTCAGCAAAGAGAAAAAAGGGCAATAAAGACGTTTTGGGCCATCAAACAATTTTTAACAATGTATACAGACTATACTTAGCTTTACATGATACTTAGGAAGGCATTCACACGTGCATGATTTGAGGCAAATAATTTCAGTCCACAATTTTTGTACAAATAAACATAGTTTGTATGGCTTCTTTTGTTGTTGCTAATTACAGCAAAAACACTTGCATCTTGACTTCTTTTATTTCAAGTTTATTTGGATTTTGTTCTTTCCTTTGATCTAAGGGGCAGAGTTGTCATAAACTTGTTCTGCATCACTGGTTGATTTGTAGCAAGCTCCGCCCCCAAGTCGCAGAAAAACCTAAATCCCAACAATCTCTTTGGTACATTGATATTGAGACAAGGGTTTCTGCAGTAACATTAGAGAGTTTTAGCATCACATTTACTGCAAACGGCAAACGGCAGATGGCTGAGCTGAACCAAAGACCTACGAATTTCGTGCCTGACCTTTTGAATCACTTAGTCATTGGAAAGAACAGTTTTTCACAGTTGTGGCAAACTCAAAATAACCCACTCTCAAGTTGAAACTGTAACGGTAAAACCCCAAAAAGCAGGTCATGTGATCTTGAACTGCCATTTGCAGTTTGSCGTGAACGYCATGCTTAAGCTCTAYATTGGTACASTACATACCTCGTCACCAAATTGTTCTGCTATATATAAACCCATGTTGCCATATTTATCGTATATTTCTCTTTTACTAGGATCGGATAATATAGTATGTGCATGGTTGATTTCTTTAAACTGAAAAATAATATTATAGAAAGAATATTGTCAGAGATGTAGTTCAGAAAATTGACTTAAATATAGTCCCCTTGAGTSTGACSTTGAAGCAGCTTCACCTGGAGGTCAAAACAAAAGTSGGGCCTCACCTTTTCTGTTGCTTCAGGATTATCTCGGTTTTTATCGGGATGRTGTTTTAAGGCCATCTAAAAAGGAAACTCAAGATCAGCCTATTATGATGAACAATGATGCACCACTGATGGTTTCGTGGTTAACMAYATTAGAATTAAACTTTTTCAGATATCACTTTCCSCACCCTTGCATTGCCACTAAGAGTAGAATTTCCACAAACTGAATTATACAGAACTTGATGACTCAGACTAAAATCAGTTAACTGATGCTCTTGCAAAACRCTGCAMTTTCCTTATTTGGTTTTACCAATCACTGTTTTAAAAATGCAACACAAGGCATTGTCTAAATCAAGTTGTTKCTTGGTAAACCTTTTKTGACTTTCTTKTTAGCAGCATACAGTAACTACATATATTGTCACAACCTGAAGCCTCTTTTACACTTGCGATTATTGCAGTGCGATTGTCTATTGTGCACCTAAAATCAGATGTGTAAACAGCCCTGCAATTGTTGCGGCGATCGAAAATCGCAGTGAAATATGTTCAAAACTCAGGCAATGGTAGTTGTGGCAATCGCCGTGACAATTGAGCTTCAAAAATCACAACAGGCCTAGAGGTGCATAGCTTAAACAAGAGTCCATTGCATGACAAATTAGTCATTTAGCAGACTAAACATTGTTTAAGTCTGAGGTGTATGTACCGCTGACTGGTTACCATAGTTACCACATCATGACCCAAGACATGACATGCTTTGAAGAAACATTGATGCAGTAAAGCTCACTTTGTCAATGTCAACAATCCAGTCTTATCGTTACAAAACAAAAATTTAATTAGGAAAAGGAATCACTTTCCAGCTGACCACGGAGCTGCATGATCATTTATCAAGTCTTGAGAGTAACTTCAAACTGCTTCACTTTTGTTAAGTATACATTGTGCATATAAAGTTGTGATTACAATATGCTTAAAGTATACCTTTCTGTATGCTTTTTTAATCTCTTCTGGGCTGGCATCTCTGTCAACCAAGAGGATATCATATAATGATGCATCTTTCCTGCAATACAAATGAACAAATGTTTATTATAAGAGTAAATACAAGCAAATTGAAGTACAAATAGGAGGTTGGGAAGCGAAACGTTTTYAWAMTCAACTCAAYGTGATAYGTAGCAAAGATTTTATTTAGAATAATGTCGAATTCAAACTTTGCATATACAAGAATAAAAGATCTGRTTAAGAAGTRCAAATAGATGACATAAAATAGATGTACAGTGCMAACACWAAAAGCGTGAAAAAGTATKAACCAAATTGTGCTAAAAGGGACAATATTAGTGCAGAWTAAAAAAAAGCAAACAAAATTCAATGTATTTAGTAAAATTTAGCTCTGGTTTTAGAGTTTGCACTCTACAAGAAATAGGTGGTATTAATTAATACTATTATATACACACTGTAGACAGCATTGATTCACACACAGTTGGAAACTATTAATATACACCATTTGACGCCGACTAAATTACACTCTTATAATTTAGTTAACATCAACAATTCAACAGAAAACTAAATACACCATTACTACAAATACTAAAAGCATTTTACTAGTAATAATATGCAATATAATACAGCTTAGATATTGTTTCAGTTATTTGTGTGGTAACATTAATATCTAAATACATAGTGATCATCCAGGGGTCTAACAGTATTGATTTCCTTTGAAATACTACACATGTACAAGAAACATAAAACTATTGACTGGGCTTCAAGTTTCTTTTTGCCCTCTGTTACATGTACATTAGCTGATGTTGCAGACCTCTGTAGTTTGTTTAATGGCTTTTTAAACCGATGTACACTGTAGCGTGTCAAGTATTTATTTCCTGGGAACACAAAACCGACTGTTGGAGGGACAAATTTAATAATGCAGTTTAACAAGTTTAGAAAAGAAAGCAAGATATAAACCTGCGTTTTTGCTCTTTATATAAACATGGTTACTATCAACTTTTTGATAAATATTTATGTTGATAAATAATTTAATAATTATAGAAATATACAAACAAACTACGTAAATAATAAATTAACAAATAAAAATACACAAAGCCAGTCATATTTCTAAGTTGATGCTTTGATTAAAGGAAACCAAAACATTTATTTTTATATTAAACATGTATATGTCTGAACAAAGCGATTCAAATGAAGCGATAAAATTCAATTGCAAATTTAGTGAGAAGCCATTTGAATGCGAATCAACATTGTGACATTTTGGATGACTTCTGGCCTCAAACAGTTAAAAGTTACCAAAAATTCACCTGAATTAAGAGTTTGTGTGTACAACGATATTCACTTGATCAAGCACACGATGTCACAGAGCGATTCGCACTCGGTAGAAAATACTCGAGAACTTTAGCAAGCTAGATTAAGATAAGATTAGATTCGACATCAGAGGGTTTATTTACATTTTAAATCAAATACATAATATGTCGAGGTACTTGCACGACGCTTTAATACAAGTCAACACCGCTTTTCGCAAGGTTTTTAATATAAAATCAATTGTATCTGCAACTTCGGAAGCCTTTTATCAATGTAAATTTGCCGAAAACTTGGTTTCGATTCAAATTAGACAAGAGATACCGAGAATCTATTATCTTTGGATTTCGCTACAAAAATACACATACTTTCTCTATCTTTTCGTTCATGCTATGAGGGTTTAGAACCATTAATATTGACAGAGATTTGAAAATAAACATAACAGCGAACTATTAAGGAATTCCCGTTGACTTTGTTGTGATTCCAAAGTATTCGTAGGAGGCCTTATACTCAGCTTTCGTACATACATTGTATTTCTCGGCGTCCAAGTTTCAATTCAAAGCCAAACTTCCGAAATATGTAACACAAGAGAGTTCACAAACACTTGCAAGCTTTTAATAATTATATTCAGCAGAGATCTAAGTTGTTTTTGAGTGAGAAAACGTTTAGTTAATTAAGAAATTACAGCAAAAACCCCAGGAACCTTTCAAAAGGACTTCGTTCATGGAGGGCTCTCGATTGAGGAGGTTCACAACAACAAGCTAATAATTGCGAAATAAGGAAATTTTTCTAGAATATTCCTTGGATTTGGTTAAAGTTATTTGAAAATTTATACATAAAAGTTTAACATGGAAATGACAGGAAACAATCAAGCGTGAAATTGTCAAGAACAAGAATACAGCGTTCAACATCTTGTAAAACTGCTATCATAATCTGCTAAATACCTATTCACATTTATCGTTGTAGCGAGACGTAAAATTTTAGATTTCAACGGATAAAAATACTTACAATTGGGACTTAAAATGTGGAATTATCATTTGAAATTGCAACAACGAAATCAAAACACATGATATCACTCAACCTCCTGGCAAGACATGTTATGTCAAAATGGGAAAACCTTCTGATACGAGCTGAAGTTAAGCACAAATCTTACGTTTCATGATGTTTTGAAGTATTGCCATTACTACTATCACCGCTACCGGTATAAGGCGCCATTCCTGGTCAAATTCATCTACAAATCCCGTGAGATGTAAACTCCGCCATGTTTTAGCATCTCAACTCCCAACAAGAAGTGACGTCATTTGTGTGGTTGATGTCTAAGCACGTGTTTCCTTGGGGCACRGATCTCGAACTTCCGGTAAAAACGTTTATAAAATCTTTCTTATAGACGTACAGGTAACAATGAAAACATGCTTCATAATCATGAGATATCATGAAAAAATATTGCCTAGTTATATTCTTATTAGCGTCTGTGACACACTATTATGTTCTGTCAGACACTGACAGTTCAAGGGTGTCCCAAGTGCAGGACAGTGCCTGGTCTAACAATTCACTTTCCATCAGTAACTCCCACAACTTCCTACCACGACACTTATGCCTCGTATCAACCATGAGGAAGATTGCCATATCTATTCAAAGAAGCACCACACTGGTCATCAACTTATGGAACACAGAGAGCGTATTCAAGGAGTCCAAGAACTAGGTACTTATATATCCCATGTTAGAAGCACTTACAAAACAAAGAACAAGGAAAAACCACTACTAGCAAGCTCTTGGAAAGCAAAAAAAAAGAGAAGTTAATGACAAAAACTACAAATAAAGGCCCAATAAAGGATTGCTCCAGAGGGAATTATAAATTGTTGAGCCGCGACATTATTATTATATGATTACTTTCAATGGAGTTTTTTAAAATGCTGTTCTGTCTTAGCACAATTGATTTACCAATTTAGCCGTGCACTACATACACAATTTCGCAAACAAGAGATCTCCTAAGTTGCGGAGTGCTTATTCAGAGGAGATGCTTGTCAAGTATTTCATCTAAAGGGTACGCTAATTTGAGAATCTGCTCATAAATACAGTATTATTTACCAGATAGATTAGTCGGAAACTATTAAAACATCAAAATGACAGAAAATTGTCCTATGCATAGCCAAATACTTCATGATTGCATAGATTATACAATAGAAAACAAAGAAATTTGCATAATTCACAGATTAAGTGCATTAACTGTACATCATTTAAAAATTGAATATACTTTTCTAGTAAAAATTGCTAAAAAGATAACTTATACATTACAAATATTGTATTCTCTAAAAAAAATTGTGTCCCTTTTCCTTTCGCAGATTATACAGAAATAATACCTTCCCAAGCACCTATTAATAATAAACATATTAAGTCCTAATAGCCGACATTAGATATTTTTGTTCAGTGACCATGCACAAAAGAATTGCAGACGAGGCTCCGGGGATATAAAAGAATAAAT